ACGCCGTAGCTTTAGCGTCAGAGGAAGACGTTCGACTCAAAGAGTCACTAATACTAAGTTCCTTATCCAAAGGACACTTACAGCCCAAGACCAGGGCTCAAAGTTAACACCTTAACTTTTATGCTTCAAAACCAGAAGTGTTTTATTTACTATTATTGCGGCCAAGCCGCCTAGGGGTAAATGTATCTCCTTAACTATCTAGCATAGTTAAACCTAATCAAATGCATAACGTGTGGCTTTCAGCCAACGTACTGAGAGACCTTGTTAACTCTCCAACTTATGTACTGAGAATTTGTTAACTCTCCGGGTACTTCGTACCCCTGTGTGCTCCACACCATGTAACCCCGTTACACTCTCCCCCACTAAGATGAGAACATTCCGTTCTCGAAACTCTCCTCAGCGAGGTCACGTCTTGTTAAGACGGCGGAGGTTACTACACCTCACACCAGCGTTGTACAGCTCCATGAGCTCACAAACGCCTACGCATCGTTGATGCCCAACTTCTCGTCGTCGGCCCACGGCCCAATGCTCCAAGCGCAGCGCGCATCTTGCTTTCAAGCGGTCTCAGACCTACGCTCGCGCTCCGCGCCTACTCCAAGAGCTGCAAACCGCTTAGAGCAATGCTCTTGACTCATTCGAGTCGTCGACAACAGCTCAGCTGTTGAACTCTCGCTTCACAAGCGATAGGTCCGTGGTTCAAGCCCACTAGGGCACAGCCCTCTCGTTCCATGAACGATTGTTCACGCTTGGACAAGCTTAAGGGCAACACCCTTTTAGCTCAATGGTTGAGCGTTGGCTTTGAGAGCCACAGGTCGGTGGTTCGAGCCCGCCAGGGCACAGCCCTCTCGTTCCATGAACTGTTGTCCTTGAATGGACAAGCTTAAGGGCAACGCCCTTTCAGCTCAGTGGTCGAGCGCTGGCTTTGAAAGCCACAGGTCGGTGGTTCAAATCCACCCGGGCGCAGCCCTCTCATACCATGAGTAGTCCGTTCTCGGGACTGACGTACGGGCCATCGCCCTTGTAGCTCAATGGGTAGAGCTCCGGGCCTGTCAAGCCCAAGGCCAGTGGTTTCGATCCCCGTTGGCGGGACACCAACTTTTCGGCTTGTTTAC